GACAGACGGACAGACGGACATGGCTAAATCAACTCAGCTCGACGTTCTGATCATATAAGTATACATTTTCATGGGTCTATCTCTTTTTGTTCTGGTACTTACAAACATCGGACCAAAGTTATAATACCATTTCATGCTCATGAAAGGTATAAAAATAAGGGACGCTCTAATGTACATATAAAATATAAAATTAAATAAATTTTATTTTACGAAAAGTGGTTTTGCTCTTACAAAAATTAACCCTGAAATACGATCAATCATAAATTTTTATATTGTTCCAAATGGGATTGGGATTTTTGGCCGGGGTACGGTCACATTGCAGGATCTTTTCTTGGCGTGGTCTAATATACATTCACCCACGGTTGGAAAGGATCATTCAAAAAACCTTCGGTTTTTAAGGGTATAATATAATTTTTCCCTTAGTATCTACTATATTAACAATCGTTACCTAAAAAAAAAAAAATCATAGATAAAATTAAGTAAACGCTTACGTACATAAAAATGTAATATTTAATAAAAAAAAATGTAGCTTTAATACATGGTGCCATAATAAGAGAACTCGGTTAAGTACTTTTTTACTATTGTTTACATTTGCCGTTAGTGGGAAACTTCCCAGTTAATTCCAACGTATCGCATGTAATTACGTTGTATGGTATACATATGTATATACATACATACATGCATACATATGTAAATAGTTGCATATGCATGCGCAATTGTAAACACAAGTGCATTTTTGCAATTAAGTGTTTCACCACTAATGATCAAACAATAATCATATGTACATACATAAAAATCATTAGTGAACAAGGGATTTTTTCCGATAAAGTTGGAACTACTTGATGTTTGAATCTGAAACTTTTATAAAAACTTCCTTAGATATTCATCTACAAAACTGTATTTAAGCGAAAAAATATATTTTTAACTTTATAACACAACTTTTACATTTAAAACAACGGCCTCTAAATTCTCATAAAAAAGTTTGAAACTCTTTAGTTTTGTTTGTAATCAGTATTAAGAAGTATCTATTGCTTAACTTAGATTCCTTGGAATAGTTTGTAGGTTTTTGTGTGAAAATTTCAAATCAACCGTTATACAAACGTCTGAGATGGCGAGTTAAAAAAAAAATTTGTAAAAATTTGCTGTCACAGTACGTTGTTCTAAATCATAGATGGGCACACCAATACAGTCTCATTTTGTCATGGTATTCGTGAATCGCGCTGAGTAACAGTTGCCACTTTTCTATATTGTACAAAAGTGCGTCGTTTTTTGCGCGTGTTAGAAAACGCTCCTACAAATTTATATTTAATTTGTATTATGAACATGAAACGAAAATAATAAAATATAATAAAAAAATAATGAAGAAATAATTTCAAATAATGAATTATGAAATTAATTTTTATAAGTACATTTGTACGTGCATGAAAAGTTTTTTAATTTAATTTCATTAAACTAATGTTTTGAAAAATGTTAGTTTATTCAACAACAAAATTCACGAATTTAAAATTTCTAAACTGTGTAAAAAACTCAGTATTCAATAAAGTATACTAAATATATTAAATTGCCGTATCGCACATAAAACCCATTACAAATCTCTTTAAATTGGTTTACGCAGTTCGGCAGTTTGACTTTTTTACCATGACAAATAATGTCGCCTTATATTAAAAGTACGATTCCAAGTAGTCGTATTACCACATAACAAGCATTGGGCGTTATTGGCTTTTCTTAAAACCAAAAACTGTTTATCTCACGATCGACTGATCGGATCTTAACCAGATTAGTATGGGACCACCTCTGAGA